AGAATTTGTTTTTAAAAGTAAGTTGTGTTACTGGGTCTGACACAGGACTTAAAAGGTCAAGGTCAGTTGTGAGCCCAGAAAACTCGCATTTTTGACGGAGAGTTGAGCTGTGTGTTCTACTCGAACAAGATGAGACCATCCAGAAAAACCGGTAACCAGGCCTTCTTCGGGTAAAGTCTGACCTATTAAACTGGTTCAATTTCGAACCCTGGGATCTGCATTCAACTTGGCTTGCTGTAATATTGAATGCTGTGGTCGTCGTCGCACTGGAGATTTCGTTGCAAGATAGATACGGCAGACAGCAATCGTGAAACAGATGACAGAATGCGTCACAGTAACACGTTATGTGTTGCTGTGAAATCAACCCGTTCTTTACAAAACAAAAGTTTTCATTGGTAGGAAAAACCAACTGCGATCCACTCCAAATCCACGGAAAAGGCTTAATTTCGGAGGAATCGTCCAAGGAGCTGGTGTTAGGCGTGGCTTGAAATATTCCGGAAATTGGAATTGGACTTGATTCTGTGTTGTTTTGCTGCAAATTCAGTCTTCCCGTGAGTTCACTGCTGTTGAATGTTGTTTTTCCGATTCCAATTGCCTTTCTACGTGGTCTGGAAAACGAACGTTTTGGTATAGGTGGAGTTGCTTTTCTGAGTGATTTCTTCTCCCCTAAAAAGTCTTTTGTACTTCCCGCAGGGTTCCACAAATTCGGACTGGAGCTCAGTCGATTTTGTAAAAATCTGTTGGAAGAAGCTATTGTATCTGCAAATATGCCGTTCTGAAGAACATTCAGTATGGGATGTTGACTACAACAGATCGATCCCAATACCAAGAGAAAAAGTAGAGGCAACGCAGACATTTTGTGTAGGACTTGAGCCGATACCTTCTGTTAACAAAGATATTCGTACACAGTAGGCTGCAAATCAAATGACAGTCGTAGCTTATTGAAACGGTTCTTATATCCTGCAGACAAAAATAGACGGCTTGAGTGATGTGCATCGTTTTGACAAATGCCAATGTTTCAGCATTTGCGTGACGCACATTTATTCGAAACGACTTCTTAAAGGGATAATAACTCCTTGTTTTGGCCAAAAAATGAATTTTCCTGGAGTAAACAACAATTTCCCCATACTTACCAATGGTTAATGAATCCATTTTTACATTCAAAGTTAGTCCCTGGTATTTTTTCTAAAAAGTTTGTTTTTTTTGTATAGCCAAGCCCATCTATGGAGGTCAGGTGGTCTGAAGACAAGCTCAGATTTCAGAAAAATAGCCATAACTGCCGTTTTTGTGGTAAAACAGAATATATTGAATTTCTATGGGTTATTCACAATGTTTTTATTGTGAAATATAGATCTCATACGAAGGGTTATTATCCCTTAAAGTCCTACGCTAGATGACCGAGCAATTGCATCAAACTGACATCGTAATTTTAAATATATGCATCCGGACGCAATAACATTCAAATGCCCTCAATTCCACGTACTACTATGCAAGGTTATGGAATTCTGATCATTTCTATCTGATCTTGATTTATCAGAGGTTTACATTTTATTCAAATTCTTCACTTCCAAAGTAGCTTGGGATTTAGTGTCAGATCACATTAATTTACAACATTTGTATTTAATAAATTGTGACATTTTAACAGACATACAAATGTCACCCCAGCCAGCTCTAAGGGCAAGAAATATGACTTAAGTCTTTTAAAATTTTATCACCTTTTTCTGATGAACTCACTTATCTACCGACACAAGATATCGTCGCGCCTCAGTGAATAGTACAGTACAGGGTGTTGTTAGCGACTGTCTGTCTGGCTACTTGGGGGACTCGGTGAGGGCCATTTAAATTTGCAGAGGGCCTTGTGATAAGGCTGAAACGTATCAAAATTTAAGGTCCAACGTGAGAGTCAATTCCATTTATCTTAGTTTAATACAACTAAATAAATCGAAACTTTTACTGACTCCTTTGAAAGACTATACTATCTTATCGGTTTTTTAAGTTATAATGTAAGCAATTTTACATATTACCAAGTAAAGGTAAGTACGACTTCCTGAATGCCATTGCCTTTTTAAACCTTGATTATATATGAGGCTGACCTCACTCTTTTTTCTTATTCAGAAATGAGGCCCCACTGGCACAATATTCACAGTATCCTAATCAATAACATACATGTATGACCAGATGACAAATATTCTTCAATCTTCTTGAAAGGAGCAACATTTTTACAAATTTTTAAGTCTATAGATCATGATAATATATTGAAAACTGAACTTAGATGTGTTGAAAATCAAGACTACAATCATCAAGATCTTTTAAAACT